TGTATCACCACAATTACGATAAGCAGCGCTCTCTATCATGCATCGTTGTAAATCTGAATAATTGTCATTGTTTTGGTACTAATTAAACTTATATGATTGTGTTGATTGTAATTCTGCCATGATTACAATCAACACAATCATATAAGTTTAATTAGTACCAAAACAATGACAATTATTCAGATTTACAACGATGCATGATAGAGAGCGCTGCTTATCGTAATTGTGGTGATACAAATGTTTTCATTTGTTGCATACCTTTCTGGTCACCCTGCAATAAGAAGATGACATATTCCCACTCTGAATAAATATAAATTTAAAGATGTCTATGATAAACATAAAATCAACAACATGGTTTGATTTTCTTCCTATTGAAATTATTGTTGATATATTTAATTATCTATCAAATAATGATATTATTTATACATTCTTTTATTTCAATCAACGATTCAACAATTTACTATTACAAAATCAATGTTACTTTAACTATTTAGAATTCCCAACTAGAAATTTGGAGTTTTGGAGAAATATCTTTTCAATTATTGGATCTCGAATAGAATTTTTAAATATAAATACGATTAATTTCTCGTTATCATTAAAATATTTTCCAAGTATAAAATCTCTAATTCTATCTTCACCAATTGATGTTCTAGATGAACAATTAAAATCAATTCTCGAAAGTGAACAATTTCAAAAGATACATTCATTCAAAATTAAAGAAAATAGATTATATTTCGATCGATTATATGACAATTATTTAAATAATCAAGATTATTTAATCAAAAAAATTCTTAATGATCAAAATTCTTTAAAAATATTTCAATATTCATTAATAACACTACCATTGTCATTAATAGGCATATCTAATTTGAAAATTAATTTTAATTTATATTCATTAACATTGATATTAACGGATTTTCGAGATATATTTACATTGATTTCATATACACCAAATTTAACATATTTAAATGTTCAATTAAAACCACCTTATAGATTTCAAGAATTGACTCATAAGATTAATATTAAATTAAAACAATTACATTTAAAATTAAGTGATAATGAAACAAGAGAATATCCATTGTCTAATGATGTTCAATTATTCAATGGTATAAAACAGTTTTCATCATCATTAATTTGTTTATCACTCAATCTAGTTGGTTTGGATATTGAAACTCGAAATGAAATTCGATTTAATAGTATAAAACTTCAACAATTCTTAGAATCAATGATAGAACTTAAACAATTTCATCTCTATGCTAAGTTAAATAAAGATCCAATTGATATTGATAATATTTTATCAAGCTTTTCTGGTAAATTTTGGTTTGATCATAATCTATCATTTGGAATGCATGGAAGATATTTCTACACATTACCATTTTATTTTAATGATCTTTTAGAATTCTATGAAGGTTTTGATGGTGTTCAATCAAATAGTATCGAGATTCTTGAAACTAATCCTCGAATGTGGTATCATGTCAAGTCTATTGAATTACTCGTAACATATAACTATAATTTAAATTTTGTAAAAGAACTAAAAATTAAAATGCCAAAGTTAACTTTAATTAAATTTGGCAATATTGGTTTTTCTTCTACACATAAAACAGTAAATTTATGTCAAGAGGAGAAATTTGATGTTCAATTAGATAATGTAACGACTATTGAATTTACTCATGGATCTATTGAAAATAAAAAAGAATGGTTAATTAATGTAACACCTAATTTGAAATATTTATTCCTGTGGTTTACAGAATTATCTTCAATAGATAATCAATTAGCTTCAATATTAACAAAAAGAATTCAACAATTAAATATATCGACATATATTGAACTTGAACAATTGACAATGATAAGTGACGTTTATTTTTCAAATGTTCAATATATTATTTTTGGCTTGAATGACGGTGGGATGAAGCCACAAGATTATGCAGCTTTTATTATGAAAATATTGAGAAATTTTCAAAATTTAAAGACATTAATCATTTATATTATTCCAATCAGTTGTTTTTATATAGAATTGCACGAAATTATTCAAAATTTGGATATGAATGAAATTATCAACAACTATCAAGTGCAACAATTTCGAGAATATTGTTTATTTTCAAAAAAATCATCCTAAACATAAACTTTAGACATCACACGACGTTTGTCTTGAAGACCAGACAAGAATCTTTTTTTCTTTCCTATCAAAAGAATCTTGTCTGATTCATCAAGAAAGATAAGAATCTTGACAGAATAGGTCCAAGAACATCGACTAATGACGTGTCATACTGTTGGAGACATACATGTATGGAATGACTTTCAATTAATTGAAACACCTTTCTTATATCTATAGAATTTCAATATTTCATCTGAATTTATATAGAAAAAAATGAATCAGTTAAGATACAAGGAGAAAATTATTTTCTTTTTCACAGAGAGAACAAGCAAAGAGTGTATGTGGGATTCAGGCGGAAGAAAAAAAATACATTTACTATCTAATTTAAAAATAAACAAACAATTCTGTCTATCCACGCTGTTGCATATTACTTTCTTAACGTTATACGAAAAAAATTGCATGGGTATATGTGCTAAGTAGTCTCGAAAAAGTGATAGAGACCACTCTCAGGTTGCTCTATTTTTCCTCGCCCCCCCCCCCCCACCCAAAATAAGTTGTAGGAATCAACAATAGATGAGGCCTGAAAATTAACAGGAGCAACCTAAGGTAGTTTGTCAATACTGGGCAATCAGCTCTTGTGATAAGATCTCATCCGCTCAAACAGTTCTTGCGTTCATTTGGTCTGACATTATGATATAGAACTGTTTTTCCTTATTTCAAATGGCTCAGTATGGATTGGAATGACTATAAATATCCGAACAACTTACCCCTCTTGATATTCGTACTCTGCTACATCGGTAATGGGTGTGGATGTAGGTATAGGTGTGAATTAAGATACGATAAAGCGACACCCGCATCCACATTCAGACCACACCTATCCAAACCCACGCCCACGCCCACGTCCACACCCACACTCATATGAGTTACACTCTTCAAGGTGGAAGGGACAGACCGCGCGAGCAGTGCACATCTCTGGTACATAAAATAAAGAAATACCAATTACAAAGAAAGAAGATTGTCTTTTTCAATTAATCGAACAAAATCATAGTAGCAATCAATATTGAAGAAAATTTAATGTGAAAATTTTCTTGTTTAGCTTTTTGCTAAGAATCTGAACGTTGTTTGATATTTTGTTGAAACACAGCGATCAACAGATTCTATCGGCGCATTACTTTTAGAAAAAAAGTTTCATAAGTATAATAATACATGAAAATCAAACACATCAACAACAAAATTAAGTTGTACAACAATTTTCAAATGGAAAATTTTACCGAATACAAATGATTTTTCTATTCGTTGTATTGATCGAACAAGTAGAATGAATCATAAGAAAAAGGAGAAATAGTTTTGAAAATTCTCTTTTTGCATAGGTCATTCAGATTTTTTGTGGAAATTCATATGATTTGTTGATCTAAGTCGAAAGTCTGATGAAAAAATTACTTTTGAAACTATACTAAAACGATGCGATGATTTTTTTTTCTAAATTCAACATAAATTTTCAAATTGTTTATTTCAATAGACTGGCCAAGCAATACCAGAATTTCTTAAAAAATATGGTGATATTAGTACTATTGGATGTTATCATGATGACCATAGGTCGACGAAGAGTAATGTAATACTTTTAGTGTGGGCCTGAGATAACACATATACACCTACACACACATCCCAGGTTTTAAATGTATCGACAGCAAATAAAAGGTAATATCATTCAATTATCATAGGTTGGCAAATTTGTCTATTAAGCCATTAACCTAAGAAGTATTTTTGAATAAATTGTCGATCAACATTGTTGCTGAAAAATTTTGAGCGCAAGGAAAGATTTTTTTAACAATCTAGTGTCATGCGCAATACGTCATTCAAGCAAATCTAATGTTTTGGATTTATAGGTAGTTTTTATATGCTCTTTTATTTCATATGATCGAAAGGATGTATAGCAAAATTTTTCAGAAGAAATGATTTCGATCAACTAATAGATTGTCTCTTAAAGTAACATTGAGAAATTAATGAGATTTTTATCAGTCATCCACAATAATCAGTCGTTACCTTTTCTTTTATAAAAAAAGTATCACTCATAAACTTAGTTATTGTTTTTTTGTCTTTACTGTCCATTAGAGTGATCATTTATGATTGTTACTCTAAATTTTCTTCAATAACAACTTGAAAAAAAGTTTACTTTGTTTGGTTTTTAAAATGTTATTATGGTGTTTAAAATAAATACGATTCACAATGGAGGAAAGAGAAGAAAAGTAAATTTGTACTTCTACATAAGAAGGATGCGTTCAATAGAACAAAATAGTAACCTTGTTTAATATGTCTACCTAGAAAAATATAATTTCTATTGACACGTAAGGACATCAGTCGATACAAGCCAAGATGTGGGTATGAGTGTAGGTGTTGTTCTTTTCCTGATCTAGATCCACGCCCAACCACATCAACATCCCACCCACACCCCACTTTCGTAAAAGACTTTTCCTATCATAGTCAACTAATACCCCAACTATTATATACCATTCGATAGAAAATTTCAAGAGCTACAAAATGGTATATAAAACATAAAGAAACAAGAAGGTTGACTCACCTATCACAAAGATAGTTAAAGAGAACTAGGTTATATTTTTGTCCAGATCTAATTGATCCACGTTTAAAGCTCTATCTTCCGATCACAGTGATGATGCTTCGAGGTTTTCT